GCTGTAGTCACAGCCGTTAAGATTGGACAGGATAGAACGTAGAGGCCACGCACACAAGTGGATTTTGCGCCAAGATGGGTCATCCAACTTGTCCTCAAACACAGCTAGCAGTAGCCTGCTTGGGGTAGATGGCAGCAGCACCGAGAGCGGTGCTCGGCTCCGTACTCCCCACTGTCCACTGCTGTACTGCTGTACGATTACAATCGAGCCAAAAAAACATGACTCAGGAGAGTGATACCGTCTACCATACTCTCTCGTGTCGTGCGGCTCTGCCGTAGTCCTTTGAGACAAGAAAATGAGAACCTGCTTCCTCCCCAGCTCTATGGTCGATGTGTGAATGGCCAAACCAGTGCACCGGCAGAGCACTGTTGGCGTTGTGTTTGTCGTGTGTTGTGTGTTGTCGCTCTTGTTGTGCGCCTGCTATCGTGGTGCCAATATTCTACTCAAAACATCGGGAGAAATGACGCTTGAGCGTGGAAAGAGATCAGCTCCTCTGTCATAGAGTGCACATACCGACTTCCGTTACTTTAGGCGTGTTGTGTTTTTGCTCCTGTCCCACCTGGTCCTCGCCACTATCTTGAGGGAGTCTTTGGAGTCGTCTTCGACTCACCATCTAATTATGCCAACCACCCTTCGTGAACGATGTCGTTGATGTATGTGCAGCATCGGCTGTATCTGAGAAACACCATCGCCCGTTGCCTCGGTGTCCGTGTGCTCCTCTCATTGTTTGGTGCTGTTTGGTGCTGTTTGGTGCAGATGCACATCCCGATCGTGAACGCGTGGCAGCTCAACGAGCGACACTACGGGGGCTTGACCGGTCTGGACAAGCAGGAGACCGTTGAGAAGCACGGAATAGATCAGGTGTGAAGACTCGGAGATATTTCTCTCGGGATACACAAACCCGCTTTCTGAGTCGTTGGCTTGTGACTACGCAAGGCGTCCACGTCAACTGGGACCACTACCGATATTAGAAGGTACTCAGCGGAGACCGTAGCGCTTTCAAAGTGAAGCGAAGTGAAGAAGACAACAACATAGTTCAAGTGGAAAGCAAACGAGTCAAGATTCACGGGATAGGCCAGGTGACAAAAAATGTCAAGATTCCACGCAATAGATCGGTGACAAATGATACCGTCAAAGTTTGCTCGCCATTGGTCCGTACCGGACTGGACGTGGTTGGCTGACCTTTAGGCATGCGCACGACGCAGACGGCAATTTGATTCCATGTCCTGCCTGCTGCTGACCGTAGCATGGCAGCTGTATCAAATGGCGTCCACTGCTAAGTGTGTTCTTGGCAGAACTGTCAATGATGTTGGAGGTTGCGTGATCTGAAGGCCGCTCAAGCAACGATTCTCGAGAACTACTTTAGTCAACCTGTGTCGAAGGTAACGGTATGCAGGCCGTTAAAGCAACGATTCTCGACGACACCGCCTCGTGTTTTTGGCAAAAAATCGATCGGCACAATGCTTCCGAAGGACAAACAAAACTATCTGACTTGTGTTTCAGGTGATGGTATGGAGGCGTTCCTACGACGTCTTGCCGCCGCCCGTGGACAAGAAGAGCGAGTTCTACCCAGGCAACGACCCCATGTGAGGAACGGCCTCAGGAACGGTCCCAGAAGCGGTCTCCTATGCTCCCACGCACCATGCCCGTAGCTGCTTTCTGTCTGTTTCCTTTGTATGTCACGTTTCGACACCTCACTCGCCCGTTTCTGTGTTCATGGCTCCAGAAGAGCGTGGATTGACGCGTCCACTAACCGCCAACATGCTTGTGCGAGGTTCGCATTGCAGGCGGGGTCGTTGAAAACGGTCCGGGCGTCCGGCTGTCGGCTTCGCACGAATACATCGACAGCCAATGTTACTTGTCGCCTGCCTTTTGGGGTTTTGGGTCGCTGGCTCGAGGTTTTCGCTCAAAGCCGAAACGTGCGAAGGGCAAATGTGTATGTACCTCGACCCCCCCCTCCCCACCTCTTACATAGGAGTAAGCAAGGTTGAGGTTGGTGGATGAACAACCTTGGCTTGTTATTCCCCGCTGCGCACATGCGCTATTTCGGGGTTCAGGGTTAGGGGATGAAGTTTCTGACTTGGTGATCCCCACCGCTCTCTCCCCCCCCGGTGTTTTCGCATTCTTGCGTGGTTAACACCCCAGGTACAAGTCTCTTTCCCCCGAAGAGCTGCCGGTAACGGAGTCTTTGGCAACGACCCTCAAGCGCGTGCTGCCCTACTGGGAGAAGGTCATCAGCCCGGAGATACAGTCTGGCAAGAACGTTCTGGTGCGTCTAAGTTTGTCTCGGTCGCCTGCAGCTTGTAGGAGTTGAGGGGTTGAAAGGAACACGCCGGCAGGAGGACTCGACTCTTGTGGGTGCAAAGGTTATGTGTCCACGTTCGGCACACGCTTCACTTTTGAGCTGTGAAGTAGATCAACGACACCCCAGCAGAGGCTTGTTTCCGAACCTTGCTCGAGAGTGCTTCGCCAATACAAGGTGTCGCCGCTGCCTCGAGTGTTTGCCCTCGAGAGTTGGGGGCGGAGCGACTACCTTACGGGGGGTATGCAGTTGCTCGATTGTTTGGCGCAACGCGAAAGGGTTGGCTTGTAAATCACCCTCCACGCGCGAAAAAAGCAAGGGCGTGCACAAGTTGTCCTGACGACGGGTACCGTGCGTTGCGTTTGATACCCAACGCCCTTGTGGGATCGATTCTCAAGTGCCGATTACTGAGCAGCAAGATCAGCCACGGTGTCGAAAATGGCGGCCTTGGAACCGTCTCGTCGAGAGCTCTCCGGACATGCATGGTTTGACTGTGGCGTCCTCTTGGTCGTGGAGTAGTCGAGCTTTGAAATATCGGTCCAGCCAGGGGGTATGATATCTTGCGTCACCTTCGAAAGTCTACAGCTCGCCTCTGGCAGGGGGCACGCGGTTTAGGGATGGGTGGTGACTACTGTGGCGTTGCCGCAACAGCTACGGGGCATGGTCCTCTACGATTTGCGAAGAACATGTGCTATCCCAGAGGGTTGTGCTGCTGGTTTTTTTTTTACTTTTTTGCTTTTTTTGGAGCAGACGATTCGTGTGGAGACCTCCCTTTCGTTCATCACCCCTTGTATCCCCGTTCCCTTGACCTGAGACCCAGTCTTTGTTGTGACGGCACTTGTTGACACCTGAACACTCCCGTGCCCTCCCCTTCCATCTCCTCTTCGTTTCCCACCCCCACCCACCCCTGTATCTTGGACAGATCGCGGCACACGGAAACTCTCTCCGAGCGCTGGTGAAGCACCTGGATGACATCCCAGAAGACGTCCTCACGGGCCTCAACATCCCCACGGGTGAGTGCTCGAGAAACACTCAGCTCAGCGGCGATCCCTCGATGGTTGCCGCTTGTATAAGTGCCGTGCCCGATGTAGCGCCGGTTAAGGTCGCGTGGCACAGCACAGACGAAATACCCAAGTCGTTCGAAACTGTTTTGGGTAGGATCGAAAGAGTAGCGTGTTGTACAACCCACCAACTCGCACCTTGCGATTCTGCATACCCCTCGTCCCATCCGCCGAAACACACGAACACACACGCTTATCCCTACTCTCCCCGATGTTTCCCCCTCGCCAAAACGTGCAACTATTCGCCGCCATGGGGTATGTTTGATTCCGGTCAGGCGTGCCCCTCGTGTACGAGCTGGACGACAACATGAAGGTCATCCCGCACAAGGACGCCATCGCGCCTCTTCAGGGCCGCTACCTGGGAGACTTGGAGAAGGTCAAGGCCCGCATCGCCGGCGTGGCGAAGCAGACCAAGATCGTCTTCGTCGACAGCACACCGTAGGGTACCTCATGTTTCGCATGCCTACTTAGCTGTTTAGACCATTGAGAGGACGGAGTGTTGTTTCCACAGGACCGATCGCCGATGGCACCAAGGGGGGGGTTACGGGGCAGGCTCAAACACCATTTACGGCGACGTCGCCAAGTTTCAGTAGAAATTGGTCGAACATCTAGCTACTAGCTTTTAGGATTCACGGAGGCGAGCCAGCCCCCGAGTAAAACCAGGAACAGATTCATATGCGCGAGAGTCGAGTACACGATTCAGCCGGGGGGGTATGTGTACAATGCAACGAGAGTGAGGGGTGGGGGGGGGGGGG